CGCCTCCCGGGTTCACGCCATTCTCCTGCCTCAGCCTCCCGAGTAGCTGGGACTACAGGCGCCCTCCACCTCGCCCGGCTAGTTTTTTGTATTTTTTTAGTAGAGACGGGGTTTCACCGGGTTAGCCAGGATGGTCTCGATCTCCTGACCTCGTGATCCGCCCGTCTCGGCCTCCCAAAGTGCTGGGATTACAGGCTTGAGCCACCGCGCCCGGCCCCTCCTTTTTCTTCTAGACCATATGTACATTTTTTATCATTGTGCCTATAGCATTGCTCGTGTTTGGATGTGAGTCTGATTCCTTTCTTCGTCTCTTGGGACAGATGAGATGTTCAGTGCATGTCTTTTCCTGCGGCTGGCATAACAAATTGCCACAAACGTAAACGTACTGGCTGAATACAACGGAGATTTACTCTCACCGTTCTGGAGCCCGGAAGTCTGAAATCAAAGTTTAGCTAGGGCCGTGCTCCCTCCCATGCCTCTAGGGGAGAGTTCTTTCCTGCCTCTTCCAGCGTTTAGTGGCTCCAGGTGTTCCTTGATTTGTGGCAGCATCACTCCAATCTCCGCCATCTTCACATGGGTCTTTTCCGCAGCCTCCTCATAGAAGAACACTTTGCATTGTATTTAGAGCCCACTTTAACCCAAGATCATCTGATCTCAATATCCTTAGCTTAGTTACATTGTTAAAGACGTTTTTTCCAAATAAGGTCACATGTACAGTTTTTGGGTAGACATATACCTTGGTACACATTGTTAAACCCACATATCAATTCAACTACACTGAATTGGCTTCTATTAGGTCTACATGAAAAGTAATGAGGGTCTGCAAAGGGCAGTTTCACAGGGGAAATAAGACAGGGAAAACGCAAGGCAAATGTGAAGGAGGACTAGATGGGTGTCATTGACTGGTCATGCAGGAGGGAGATGCAGAAAGGGAAAAGGAAATCAAAGATCACTGCAAAGTATTGGACCTGAAGGTGCTGGAAGGGGGCTCAAGCAAAGAGACTGGAGTGTGTGGGGTGATGTGCTCTGTTTCGGCAGAAGATGAAGTGATTGCAAGAACAATTATTTGGTTGGCCCACTGATGTTCTGTGCCTCAGTTTCCCCATAAGCCTATGGCACTTCCAGCTTTTCCAGGATGTGCTGAGCTCCTGGTGCAATCAATTAGCCTGTGTTGTTTCCCTGGAGGACACTTGACCAGAGTCCGTGATAAGCAAATCGAGCAGCAGTTTAAAAAGCTTTATGTGATTCATTTCACTAGGTGGGTGGGATGGGCTGAGTGTACCGGAAAGGCAGCTGGCCCCAAATGTTTGAGACCTTGTAAAATGATGTGCATCTACTTAGGAGACTAGTAAATGGTACTGTCCTCCCCAAGTGCGATAGCCAGCTTGGGAACCTTGAGCATCTCCTTTCAAGGTCCGATCTCAATTCAGTGCAAAACAAACAATTTTGCCCTATTATGGGTAACATTCTTTAATAACATTTTCTGTGATACGTTGAGAGTTTATAAATCTTTCAGCATTGTATATTTTTTAAAAGTATACCTAAAATCTCAGCACTTAGGATTCAGATTTAGGGCAGGGAGACCTGGTAATGCTTGTTGCTCTTTGTAAGTAGTTTACAAACAGGCTTTTACCACTTACTGTCTAGGTAGATGGCTCTTTATTTTCCAGCCTTGTTAATATTGTCCTTCAATAATCCACTGTAGGAAGAACAGCTCCTCCTCCCCATTCTCCATTCTCCCCACCTTCTTTCCTTCTCTCTCGTGTGTCCCTTAGTTGCTTCCAACTGGGCCTGCTCTGACTTCCTTTGCAACATAGCTGACACACACTCTCCAGGAGATGCGTGAACTGATGCGTAGCCCTGGTTCTACTCCCAACTAGCCTAGCCACCTGGAACTAAATCCTCTCCACTCTAGGGTCCCATTTCCTCATCTGTAGCATGGAGCTGAGAAGAATGCCTGCCTATTTGCTACTCAGGGTTGCTGCAAACATGAAATAAAAAGAGAGTTTGAGTTCAGCTCTCTTCTTAAAGTTAAAAAGGCCAAAGCTGATTATCTAGAAAGGTCAGCGGTAGTTCCCAGTCTTTTGGGTTCTTGAGGCACCTGGGAAGAAGTTGAGAAATTCTCAGACTCTATCCCGTACTCCTAAAACTGGCCTGGTTAAAGCCATTTAGGCAAATGTTATATGGGCTGTCAGAGCACAGAAATGGTGCCCATAACCTAGAGACATGATGAAACTGAGGGCTCCTTTTCAGTGCAGGGTTAGGTCAGAATTCCTCTGGTATCAGAGAGATTCAAAGGACTCTATCCAATTAACGACATGGCTTGCTATTGTGTATAAGCCCAGACTCACAGGCCATTTATGTATTTGTATCTAGGTATCTATTCATTATCTTACAAACATTCCTGCAAGCATGCAGGGTCAGTTATCCAGTGTTCTAGGAGAGAAAAAGATGCCCAGGCTACAGCCTACCCTTGCAAGGCTCCAATGCAAGGGGACACGGACAGGTACATGTATAATGAATGCATGTACAGGGCGTTTAACAATATTAGATTGTTTACTTGCTTATGGCTTGGCTCCCTAAATACACTAAAAGCTCCAGGAGGCAGCCTTCATCTGTTCTTTAATTACTATCCCCTACTGCCTAGTGCATTGCCTGGTAAGGAATAAACCCAATAACTATTTGTTGAGTAAATGAATGATTGGACTCATGAACAAACGAAATGAATGGCAATAGAGAGGTATGCAAATATACCAGAAGGACTCAAAGCAGAAGCAGCAGGGAAGAATTCATAGGGAAGTAATATCTGAACTTGACCTTGAAGAATGAAAAGCATTTTGCCAGGCCCAGAGGAGGCAAAAAGAATAATTAGATCAATGATATGGGAGCATTAAGGGAAAAAAAAGTCTGGCCCAGAGGCCACAGTGTGAGATGACCTGGCAGAGAGAGATGGTAGCAGGAAATAAAGAAGCAACAGAAATGGGATTCCAGGCCACTGGGGCAGGAAACTTAGCTATCGTGGTTAAGAGTTTGGGTTTTCTCTTGCAGGAATAGAGAACTGATGAGGATTCTCAAGGAGGTGACTTGATAATATTCTGCTATTAATAATTACAAAGGTTGTTCTTGCTGCAGTTTGGTGTATGGATTGGAACCCCAGAGGCCAGGAAAGAAGTTGGGGTAAATGCTGGAAGTCAGCCTAGAGATATTGAAAGCAGAAGTAACGCTGAATATATTAAAAAGCTCATGAAAGTGACAAAGAAGAGACAGGGTCAGGAGGCATTTGGGGACTCTGACCATTAGGATCGGGTAACAGAATAGAATGATGGCAATGATAGAGGGGGAGGGGTGGGAAGACTCAAGGTTAGCACCCAGGCTACTGGTTTGGAAACCATGTGAGCAACGGATCCTCTCACTAGGAAAAAGTCCTGTGTCTGCTGGAGAATAACCAATTAGAAAGATCCAGAAAATAGTTCAGTGTTCATGCCTGGAACTTAGTAGAGAAGTCAGAGTGCAGATGGAAATTTGTGAATTCAGCTGTATTTAGATAGAAAAAATCAATAATGAAATATGTGAAATAGTATAATAATGAAATTTTAAAATAAAAAATGGAACAATGAAATTAATGATAATGAAATAAGCCATCATCTTTCTAGATGGTCAATATACACAGTAACAAAATATACTCAAACAACTCGCAGATTTTTAAATGTATTATGTTCTATTCTATGGGCTACAGGCAAAGTCCAAGATGAAGAGAGAGCCTGAAGTCATCCTGAAGTATTTCCTGGACTTCTTTAGTTTTGTGTGTACATGTATGAGTGTCCACTCAGCTCCTCGGTGGACCAGGCACTGACCCAGGCCCTGGGGATGCTAAGTCCTGCAAATCTCTGCTTTTGTGGAGATGGAAGTTGAGCAGTCAGATGTGAACACAAGTTACCAGTTAAAACAGAAGTAAAATTAAAACTCAGGCAAGTGCTGTGGAGGAGCGAGTCTGAGAGGTCGAGGAGGATTCTCTGAGGAGGTAGCACTTGAGCTGAGCTCAGAAGTAAGAGTTGCCATTAATAAGAAGGAAGACAAGGGCATCTGAGAAAGGGGGAACGGTACCTGAAAGGGCCCCATGGGAGGAAGCAGAGAAAGTCCAAGGACCAGGAAGAGGCAAATTTGCTCCAAGTGGAACTGGGAGGACAAACAGGGTAGCTGAGCTAAGGAGGCCATTGTCAGGAGCGTTTGTGGAGGAAAAAAATCACCAGTTGGTGTTTGATAGAGCTCACAAAATGCCTGCAAAAGAAAGGAAAGTGTAGGAAACTTGGCTGATTAAATGAACTAGGAATGTATAACAATGATGCTTTATGACAGTGAATGTATTTAATGAATGTTAGCTAATTAACTCAATGAAAAATAAGTTAATCTCTTCATAGAAAGTGCCTTAGCAAGCTGCCTAAATGATATGGGAGCTCAATAAATATTACTTGAATCAGAGTTGCTATTGCTAAATAGTCTGTCTTCCCACATTGGATAATGTTTGCTAGATTTTTATGAAATTCAACAAACATAGGAAAGCATCTGAGACATTGCCTGGTTCATGGTTGCTGTCCCTCAAATTTCTTAACAGTCTCTCATCAACCATGTGGCAAAAGTATGATATTCTTCATTTTACAGAGGAGACAGATACTGGCAGAGCTTAAGGACGGTAACAAGGTCACCCTGCTGATGAGGGAGAGGCAGCCCACATCCTTGTCTTAACTGGGCACTTCTTCTGCCCCACACTACTATTTCCTGTAAAATAAAGCTCTTACATTTAAAAATTAAGTAATTGGATTACTTTAAACACAGATTTTCTTTAACCCTAGCGGTAATGCAAGGAGAGATTCAGAATTATGTGTGAGACATAATTACTTAAATCTGACTGGGTGGTTGTTTCTATGAATGAATGCACTTAATTAATTTTTCTCCTAGCTTCTTGCTATTTCCCAGCTATAATTTATTTTCTTTCATCCCAGGGGCAATAGAAGGACAACTAAAGAAGGAACCAACGATTTGAAATTCCAGAACTTCAGTCTGCCAAAAAACAGGTTAGAATATTTACTTGTTTATTAATAGACGAGTGAAAATTTTAATTCTGTAGCAAATAAGCTGACCGTCACACACACGGAAATTGTCAATGTGATGGAATGACCTGTAGTGACTTAGAGGTCAGACAGAGACCAAGGTACAGGAGAAGGGGCTTGGCTAGGGTTGAGCAGCCAGAAGGTATGTGATACAAAGCGAGGCTGAGAAGCCCCCACCTCCACAGCTCTGCAGGCCAGGCCTCCTTCCACCCACCCTTCCCAGGTCTCCAAACAAGCCCAGAGAGAGCCAGTGATGGGGAGGCTTCTCTTCCTCTAGCAGTGAATGATTTGAATGATGGATCATGGATCCGGCCACAAGTTTACCTTGGAGTCTCACAGCAAGTCGACAAGAGAGAGCCAAGTGCTTCCATTGTTATTTCCTTTGTCCTTCGATTGAGAATAACGTTTGCTGAGCAGTTATGGCATCAAAACCTGCACAGGCTACTGAAAATGCAGAGACCAAAGACAAAGTCTCTCCCTCAAGGAACTCACAGACTAGTCAAAAATCTCAGAATGGAGTGCTAACTTGATTGAATGACTGACAAGAGACAAGACCTAAAGTCAAATCCAGCTGTGCACTGCCCAGCCTTGCCCAGCAGACTAAACCTGGGCCACATCCTCATGTGCAGAACTGTCTCTCTGATGCTCAGGTGGGACTCCCTGGCCAAGCATTCCTGGGGGTGGCTTCTGTTCCTAGAGGTACCCAAGGGTCCTTACAAGTTATATCAATCCTCATATCCCAATTCAAGTCCATCCAACAAACATCCTTCATTCCCTACTATGTGTCAGACACTATAAGCAGTCTTGGAATTCTAAAATGTTCTGGAATAAATAGTTCTCCTAAGCAGAGTAAATGAATGCTGGTAAGATGATAGAATACTTGAGGTGTTTTGCAAAACCACTTTGAGTAGAGGGAAATTTGTGGCTGTTCTCAGACTTCTTTAATGTTTACATTAAATACATTTGAATAATGCATTTTAAGTCCGTTTTCCTTATTTCTTGACAATAGCAAGAGATGGGAGATGGAAGGTTTAGAAGCCCTCCTTCAAATGGAGAGGGATGAAGCAATTACATACATCAAAGTAATATTTACAGTTACATTTGGAGGAAAAAAGACAGAGAGAGAAGAGCAGTGCTTTTTTTCTGAAGCAAATTATTTCAAAATGTGTCATAGCATGCTGAAGATATATTAAAAAGAGCAACAGATGATGTTTTTGCAACCTGTTCTAAACTATTTATAAACCTAAATTTAAAAAAATCTATAGACATACAAATCTCTATACCACTGCATATTTTATAATGAATGCATTATGTGAATATAAACTACTATTTGAGATATATAAATCAACTAAAAATGTCTGAAAACTACAAATTTGTATCTACCATCTTCCTTGGTAAAAATTATAATTATCAATATTTGATGAGAAGGTAAGGAAGAAGCTACTTCAGGGCAGCATTGCAGTGTAGAATGAGTCCATTGGATCGGGATTTCAATCTCAGCTGACCTACTTATTAGCTGTGTGGCCCCGGACAAGCCCCTTTTTCCATTCCAACACCTCCTGTGTTTTAGAAGTGATATCTGAAGCCAAGCGTGGTGGCTCATGCCTGTAATCCCAGCACTCTGGGAGGCCGAGGCAGGCAGATCACCTGAGATTGGGAGTTCGAGACCACTGACCAATATGAAGAAACCCCGTCTCTACTAAAAATACAAAATTAGCTGGGCATGGTGGTGCATGCCTGTAATCTGAGCTACTTGGGAGGCTGAGGCAGGAGAATCACTTGAACCCGGTAGGCGGAGGTTGCGATGAGTCAAGATCAAGCCATTGCACTCCAGCCTGGGCAACATGAGTAAAACTCCATCTCAAAAAGAAAAAAAAAAAAAGAAATGGTATTTGAAAAAGTAGACTCTGTTGTTCATTATTGAATCTCTTGAGCCTTCCTGTGTCCACAGAATAAATGGATGACCTCTGAGGTGTGCTGGGAATAGAGTAGGTTCTCATTAAATAACATGGGCTAATAGTCACTGAATGGTCACTGTGTGCTAGGTGCTGTTCTAAGAGCTAATAGGTAACCCTTCCTGGATCCCAATAATTACACTCTTATTAGTCTCCTTTTTACAGGAAAGAAGAATACAGCCCAGAGAGGGTGAATAACTTCCCTCAAGGCTCAGTGGCTAGTTGTGATATGGTAAATGGCAGCCGTGATTATTACTAATATCAACAACCCTGGTGCTCCCCATCACTGCCCTCATGCTAGGTTGAGTGTGGGAGTTAACTCTCCTGCAGGCCCCCACAGCCCAACCACCCCAAGCTCAAAAGTGCCTTGATCTCCTGGTAATAAACAAAGCAAAATACCAAGTTGAGTGCTGGACCCCACTTGGATGATACGGCCTGGGAGGATCTCCAAGAAAAATACAGATCACATCCCCATTCATTATCCATAATCTGTCTGCAATATTGAAATGAAAGTGTTTTATAACATCTCACTAAATCCCCAATACCCACTTTTATTTTGTGCTGTTTCCTCATGTCCATAGTGAAAGAAAAACACCAACTGATGTTTGTCAATTAAATCCAAACTCCACTCAATAACTGAGCACCCGACGTGCGCCAGAACCTTGGCATCCAATGTGCACCATAATGCTCTGAAGTAGGCATTCATAACCCCATTTACGATAGGGAAAAATACTCTGAGGGAGGTTATATGTTTTTGTCACAGTCCCAGTGGAAAGGGGTACCCGTTGGATTTGAATTCAGAGTCTAGCTTCAAGTCAAGTGGCATTTCCGGGGTTTTTTTGGTTTGGTTTGGTTTGGTTTGGTTTGGTTTGGTTTGGTTTGGTTTGGTTTGGTTTGGTTTGGTTTTGAGCTAGTTTTGCTCTTGTTGCCCAGGCTGGAGTGCAATGGCACGATCTCGGCTCACCACAACTTCTACCTCCCAGGTTCAAACGATTCTCCTGCCTCAGCCCCCCAAGTAGCTGGGATTACAGGCATGTGCCACCACGTCTGGCTAATTTTGTATTTTTAGTAGAGATGGGTTTCTCCAAGTTGATCAGGCTAGTCTCGAACTCCCAACCTCAGGTGATCCACCTGCCATGGCCTCCCAAAATGCTGGGATTACAGGTGTGGGCCACCCACCGTGCTCAGTTCTGGGTTCTTTTTTTTTTTTTTTTTTTTTGAGACGGAGTCTCGCTCTGTCACCCAGGCTGGAGTGCAGTGGCCAGATCTCAGCTCACTGCAAGCTCCGCCTCCCGGGTTTACGCCATTCTCCTACCTCAGCCTCTCAAGTAGCTAGGACTACAGACGCCCACCACCTTGCCCGGCTAGGCTAGTTTTTTTGTATTTTTTTTAGTAGAGACCGGGTTTCACCGTGTTAGCCAGGATGGTCTCGATCTCCTGACCTCGTGATCCACCCGTCTCGGCCTCCCAAAGTGCTGGGATTACAGGTTTAAGCCACTGCGCCCGGCCCAGCTCTGGGTTCTAAGTGATCAAAACTTTCTTATGTATATATATATGTATATGTATATTCTTATTTATATGTATATGTCAGCATATACATATGAATGTAGATTTCTATTCTGATGAGTCACTAATCTGCTCCTGTCAAGTCTCCCCACCATGAGGAAGGGGCATGTGCCCAGCCCTTCTGGAAAGCAGAGCCACATCTACATCAGGAAGGCCTGGTAGCTGCGGTTCCTAGAGCATGGGCCTGGGACCAGCAGCTTCAGCATCATCTGGGAACTTAGCAATGCTGATTCACAGACTCTGGCCTACTGCACCAGAAGGGCAAGTGTTGGAGCCCAGGCACCCGTGTTGAAATAAGTCTTCCCTGGGGGTGTCAATGTTTGCTCAAGTTAGAGAACCTCGGATGGAAGCATGGTTACCAGGAGTATAAGCTTCCAAGTGGAGTGAGAGGCCCCTGGGCTTGAGTTCCACTCTGCCCCTACTCGCTGAGTGATAGTGAGTGGGGTGGAGGGAGGAAGATGGGAGGCAGAGGGTGAGGGGAGATTGGAAAAATGGTGGATGCAGGAGCTGTTTCCCCACTGGGGAAATGTCTGACCCCTTCCATTAACCTCCTTAAGTTCTCTTTGTTGGGCACTGGAAAAATCAAAGATGAACGAGACATAGTCCCTGACACCAGCATGCTCAGTATCTAGTGGGAAGCAGAAGAATGGGTGTGGAACTATAAACTACATACATAACAGATCATAAGCCCATGCCATGCACCATGGCAGACACAGAGGCAGGCCCTAGGGAACAGGAGGTACACAGGATCAACCAGGGAGCTAAAGGGCTTGCCAAGTCCTCTCTCTAGTGAGCAGCGGCACCAAGGTTCTAATCCATGTCTTCACTTTCCAAGCACTAGTCTCCTTTCCTACCTTTACTCTTGGCACTGCTGCTAGGACAGTGTCACCACACTATCCACATTCAGACCCTTCCCATTCGTCACCTCATCGGCTATGAAGTTCTTCCTTTCTGCTACTAGCACCTGCAGCAATAGTTAGATCCAGGGGGGCAAAGTGCAGGCAGCCGTAATTTCTCAGGGCCCATGAGGCCCAATCGTCATCCTTTGGAGACTGGAGTCCTCTTTTTGTTTTTCTGGGTTTTTTGTTGTGTTTTCTTTTGTTTTTTGAGACTGAGTCTCATACTATCACCCAGGCTGGAGTGCAGTGGCGCTATCTCAGCTCGCTGCAACCTCTGCCTCCCAGGTTCAAGTGATTCTTGTACCTCGGCCTCCTGAGTACTGGGATTATAGGCGCCCGCCACCATGCCCAGTAAGTTTTGTACGGGGTTTCACCATATTAGCCAGGCTGATCTCGCACTCCTGGCCTCAAGTGATCCACCCACCTCAGCCTCCCAAAGAGCTGGGATTACAGGCGTGAGCCACCGTGCCCCGCCTGGAGTCCTCTTCTATTCGGTGAACTAGGAGGCCCTCTACTGGGCCCCTTCAGCCAGGCAAGCCCAGGA